ATATATATATATATATATATATATATACATATATTATTTTCGAAAGCATCTAACTTAACACTGAGATATCCGTCCAAAGTTCTAATTTGGGTGCGATGATTAATTAACCAAATATGTTGCAATTAAAAAAAAACATAAATTTTCTATACCTGCTAAGGTTAACTACTTATATAAATTACTATTCCGACACTGATGACTATGAAGCTTAATTTAACTAATCCATTTGTTGTGTTTAAATTGAGTGGTTATCACTTTTCACGTGGGTATCCATCACGGTCGACGAGCTGCTCCCATCATGGTGCGTTTCCCAGTCCTGTTGCGTTTTTTGCGATGCGAATATTAGTGTCATTATTGTTGTAACAAGTGGCTTCATCTTTGGATGTCTTAGTTTCATCCAAACCGACTGCCTCATAACAACGATGTCAGCTTCCAATCTCATTTCATACCAGCGTGCTCGGTACCTATTTCGTTATTTCTGGCACAAGTGACTGGATTTTTTGTGTGCGCCTCCGATTCCAGTCAGTTAATAGTTCCCATAGCGCATGCTCGCTTAAGTCTATCGTTACTAGCAACGTTTGTACGGGCTGTTCAACTCGTTTACTGAAGTTTTATCAAGTTTTCTGTTGTGTTCCATGCTATTATATTGCTTCGACAAAGAAATAGTTCGTCACTTAGGAACTTACCTGATTAATTGTTTTTCGTTTTAGACACAAAAGAAAAATAGAAGTGAGTTACTGTGATGAAAACACTTTGTTTTTTTCTGTTCGTATTATGTTTATCATCGGTTTCTCAATGTAGTTTCAGGCGCGCAATCTCCGAAGACTAACGGGGGTGCTGTTTTAAAAACCGCTGGAAAGAAACGCCCGAGGGAAGAAGAAGATAGTGATGAAGAAGTTGCGGCTGAATCCATGCTTGATTCTAAGCAAGTGAAAAAGTTAAAGAAGTTGATTACGGAAGATGGTGATCACTCAGATGATGACTCGGTCCAATTGGAAAACAGCGATGAAGATGATGACGCTAGCGATGATGATGTTGAAGACGATAGCGATGAGGACGATGATGAGGAGAATGATGACGACGAAGAGGACGAGGACGAGAACGAAGACAGTGACCATGATGGTGACACTGATCAAGAGTTCCCAGAAAAAGTCGTCAAACCTGCAAAAGAGGCCAAAAAACCTAAACAGGAACCTAAACAAGAACTAGCTAAGAAAAAACAGACCAAAGAAACCACAGAGACAGCTACTTTCAAGCCATCAAATGCTAACGTTCTTCTCTTTAACATCCCTCGTATCAATGAGAATGACTTGCGCAATTTCCTGACTAAGCGTGGCGTTCAGCCAGAATCAGTGTCATGCATTAATACGCCGGTGGCACTGATTGGCTTGCCCAACGAGGCAGCAGCCAAAAAGGCAGTCACATCGTGCTCGGGGACGGCTTATGGCCAGGTCACTCTTGCGGCTGTTACGGTAAGCGGTGGCGAGGTGGCAATGATCCGGTCCTCCCACAATCCTCATCCTGGGAACCCGAACGCTCCCCTCACCTGTGTATTCGCCACGTTCATCCCCAAGACAGTTACGCAGGAAGAAATTCTGAATGTAATTGCAATAGAGCCAAAGAACATTCGGCTTATGACTTCTGGTCCAAAAAATAAGGTATCTAACGCTTGCTACATCGATTGTCACTCTGAGGCCGATGCCAAGAAAGCATATGAGGCTCTCCAGGGTCGTCAAATGGGCAGCAATCGTATTAAGGCATTTCTAAAGCCTCAAAATAACTTCAGTCCACTCACTGAAGAGTCGCTGGTTGTAACTAATGTCCCATTCTCGGCCGGTGTGGAGGAAATGAAAAAAGAATTTCCAACTGCCCAGAAAATAGAATTTTCTCGCAAGGGGTCCTTCATGTTAACTTTCGCCACTGCAGAGGCCAGGAATAAGGTTCTTGCTGAGGCGGAAGGCAAGGTGATGGATGGTCGCGCTCTGCGTATCATCACGTCTGAAAAACGCAACTCCGACTTCTCCGTTTTTGTCGCAAACCTGCCATTTACTGTTACAGTGGAGGAAGTGAAAGCCGCCTTCCCTCAGTCCAAGCACGTTCAACTACAAAGGAATAAAGAGGGCCGTTGCAACGGGTAAGGCTTTCTGAGGTTCTCCTGGTTCAAATATTTAAAAAACCGTTAAGTTAGCGTTGTTCAGCTTGGGTGCATTTCTATTAGCCAACCCAATGTGTTGAATCATTCAATTTTACGGATCTCGATGTGTTTTAACACTCATTAAACTTCTCGTTGTAGGACCGCGATCGTGTCCTTCGCATCCAAGGAGGCCGCTGAGGCTGCTGTGAAGGAAGGATCCACCAAGGAGATCAAGGGAAGAGGGCTGCGCGTTAAGCTACAAGACGGTTCGGCTTCCTCGCCTAACAAGCAAGGTAGTATTGCATTTAGGCGACTTAGAATTTTAGTTTTGTTGCGCTACTCATTCGTTCGTTTGTCTTTTAGAAAAGAAACAGGAAAAGCCACTAAAACCGCAAGCACAACAGAAACAAGCAGAAAAGAAGGTAGAATTACCGGCTCAAGTAGGCAGTGAATCTGAAGATGAGGATCATGAGGAGGCTGACTCGGAAGATGAAGAGGAAAGCGAAGGCGAGGATGATCAGGATGTTGCCGAAGAAAGCGGCGATGATGATGAGGATGATGATGACGAAGAGGAAGAAAAGTCGGAAAGTGAAGAAGAGGCTGAAGAGCCCGCAGCGAAGCGCCCGAAACAGGAGGAAAGTGGCAATTTTAAACCAAAACAACGCAATGATGGAAAGCCAGGCGCTCGTGGCCGTGGCGGTCAATTTAACTTCCGTGGCGGTCGTGGCGGAGGCTTCCAACAACGAGGCGGTCGTGGTGGAGGCTTCCAGCAACGCGGGGGTCGCGGAGGCAAACCCCAAGGAGGGCGTGGGGGCGCATTCAGAAGGCGCTAAACATTTTATCCGATTGCAGTTTGTAAATTAAATACTGTAATGAAATTTCGATTTTGAATTTTGTTTCCTTTTGTATTTGAACGGGTGCTTTAAATCTTTGCAACTGGCTGGCATTGCCATCACTACCTATTTCTTAGATGAACAATCCAGCTTTCGACAGACCTCCACCCACAGGCATCTACTACGGCGCTCCTAAGCCGCCAAGTTTGTGTGTGTCTAACTTTCCAGACGGGATGACTGAAAGTGACCTCTATCCATTTTTCCCCACTGCCACCCATATCTCATGCCAGGCTAATGGGTGAGTTTTTTTATGCGTCCACTTACTTCAACATTGTGCTATTTCTGCTACGCTAGTTCGAAAAGCTAACTGATTTTTATCTTTTTGCTTTCCCTTTGCGTGCTGCTTAAGCAGGCGTATCTTGTCACGCGTTGGCGTTGGTTGTTAACTCGTGGAGCGTGCTTCCCTCGGATACGGCAAGGCCAAGGCCACAATGTGGCTAGGCTTAATATGGTTCTAAAAGGAGCGCGAGCGAGAAAGTGCTAGCGGGGTGCTTGCGTCGTTGTGCGCCCAGTGTTACAGTGTATGTCTCTTGCGACGCCTTACCACAAACCTTGTCTCTTCAGTTCTTCAACTTCTTGTTTGATACAATTTCGATCGGACGCTGATTGCCAAGCTGCTTTCACCGAATGTCAGAACGGCAAACTCGTTGGCGGCCGCCCCGTGCAGGCTCGGATCGCCCCCACTGGTGGGCCAGGTAAGCAGCAACCTAGGGATCATACAGTGAATGCAGTCTGTGCTCGATTTACGCACGTGTGTAGCGAATTTGCCATTGCCGTTAATAAAGGAAATTCTCGCCTTGGCACCAAGATTGCCATGTTAGTCCTCTTTAGAGATTTCTGTTACATTAAATCAGTGCTTAGTTGTATATTTCCAGAGAGTAATTCTGGCGGCTATCCACGTGCCGGTGGTTACCCTGCCAGTAATGCCCCAAGAAGGGGAGGCAGTGACTACTATGGCAATGGCGGTTCCAGCGCTCCTAGAGATTACGGCAGTAACTATTTCCCCCAAGATTCCAATTGCATTCTGACGCTGCACAACTTGGCTTGGTCGGTCACCGAAGATGATCTCGTGCGGGAATTCCCTCGCGCCATTAATGCCTCCGTGAAGTTGGATGAACACAACAGATCACGTGGGTGAGTCCAATCTTACCGCATATTTCCACATCAACGTGTACCTTGAGGTCGTTACGTTGACTACACCGTGCTGACAATTTGCGTTTTTTGGACAGTTGCATGGTTAAAGGGTTTTGTTTTCTATTTAGTTGGGGAACTGTTACATTCGCGAACACCAACGACTGCCGCAATGCCGAGGCCGACTGCGCTAACAAGTCGATAAATGGAAGACCTGTTCGTGCTGAAATTGGCTACGCCTCGGACAGATATCGTGATGATGGCTACAGAGGAGGACGTGGGTCGGGCGGCGGCAGGTTCTATGGCGGTTAGTTGACATGTTTAACGGTGCTGGCCGTGTCTATGCATATTGTTCGTTGTCTGTTTAGCAATACTGGGACAATTTCTTTCAGCGAAACATTCAGTTACTGGTTTTTGTGTTCTCCTGGCTAATTCCCATTGTTCAGGATTGGCCAATGTTGCAAACGCCAGGGACATTAAAGTGTACCTTGTTATGTGTTTCAAGAATACCTACATCATTCACCTGGTGATATTAGGCATTTGTCTTAAAAATGCTTATTTTTAGGAAATTCATGCGCGTTGCCTTTTAGACCGTGGTAACGGAGGCGGTGGTAGACGTGGGGGTTACGGCAACGATGGTGGCGGCATGCACCAACGTCGGCGTTTTGATGATACCGATGGTGGAGGGGAACGCAGGTCATGGGGTGGTGGCGGAGGACCACGTCGAGGCGGCGGCGGGGGTCCCGGTGGTGCAGGTGGTGGAAGAGGTGGCTTCGACCGAGATCGACGTGACCGCAGTCCTGGACGTCGCAAGTCAGGTGGTCCTGGAGCTCGCATCACATCTGCCGTTATTCGCCGCGCCCCTGGTGACTCGTCCGACTCAGATTTCGACAATCGACGCTAACTTGTTTGCGCCAGCGCCTAACGAATTCCTTGCTTTTATTGATCTACTTGTATTATTATGCCTTGTGTATCGCAAATTAATGTGCTCGTATCTAACGGTGGGTTTCCATTTCATGGTGAAGGAACAGGGCTAGTACCGTCTAGAGGTGGTAACTGTTCCTCAAATGTATTAGTTGGACGGAATTATGCCGTAGTAGGTGGCTGGGGAATCACCACATCTTACGCGATCAGCTGGAAGTTAGGTGGAGTAACAGAGTGACATAGGCGATCCGAAAAAAAGCAGTGGGTTTGGGTGCGGAAATGGTTTGGTTATTTTGTGCCGTGGTTTATGCGTAATAAGGAGGCGGGGTTGGTCCCATTCACTTCAGCCATTTTGATGGGCAAACTTCGGGATGTCAAATTTATGGAAGACCGGTTTACCAGGTAATTTTTGTAAGAAAACGTTCCCTGTAATGCATGAAAACAGCTAGCCAACAAGAATCGGCATTGTGGTGTAATGATTATTTTTGAGTCAAGATAGGTGCCAAGGAGGTATTTGAGTTGGCCTTCTCAACACGGGGTCCGGTTTCACCCTGGAAGTCCACGAGATGGAGGCCGTCATCCTATGATGCCAACATACATTGAGCCATGGTAGTCCTGGAGTGAGATTCGCCAACACTGCAGGCAGATTGAACTTACTGCTGAATTTCGTCGAAAATGTCAAATAGCGAGAAAAACTCAGATATCAGGTGAACAATTAAAGGGTTTTGGGGGGAAAATTGGTGTCCAGGGCTGTACCGCCTCCAGGTTCACTGGTGAAAACTAATCCACTGTCTAACAGCGGGAGTCATGGCTAACATCGACAGTAGAAGATGGCCAAATTGTAAAGTTGGATGGAAATCAACGACGAGTATTCAAAAGCTGCACTCAGGCGTTCAGACTTTGACTATTATTGGTCATTTCGACCATCACGATACACTGCTATGCATTTGCAAATTGCTCAACGTATATTTAACCGGAACACCGTCTACCGAGTTGAACGAGGACAAAGAGATGTACCAGAAGGCGTGCCTTCTGGCGGTGATTGACCTATCCTACCTAATCACCAGTGTGCCTCTGCAATTGTCGCATCCCTGTGTACTTTGGTCGTGACCTCAGTGCCCACGCCGTGTTCAATCGCCCCAAGCCACACTCACACGCCTTAAAAAAACAAAACCACACCAGCACTGGACTTCTCAGTTTGTCTTGCGTCGTGTCAGGTCACAACAAATGTCAGCGCACGAATTAGCGACATTGTGAAGCACTTTTATTGTTGATACATGGGCCTGTCGAGAGGTCGAGTTAGGGCTACCACAAAACCCTATAGATAACAGCCGGTCACAACCCGAGAAGAGATAAGATAGAGTCGAAGGGTAACACGACCGTTTATTCGCGTCACGCCATTCAAGTCGAGTCGGGTAAAATCTAGCAACCAACTTCTGTGTGCGTTACAAGCGACTGCTAACACGAGCCAATAACAAAGAGGGTGAGTCATTGATGCAGTCGGGCGGGCAAACATACACGGAGCACTCACGCGCGCGGTGGCTGTCTGTCCACTACGGTACATTCACGAAAAAAATCGATTGATTTGTGTTCGCTCACGAATGCTAACTGTGCTGGCTTGCTGGTCGCCACACCTGGTATCCTTAGGGTTCTACAAGGGTATATTGAAGGCCTCGGCGTGAGGTTTTATGCCACACTGGTACTCCACCATGTATTGACCAGAAAAGGCCTCACAAATGCCCGGAAAGGTCACGAAGACCGGGTATTAGATGGCGTGTGCGTGTGCGACAAGTGAAGATGCTGTGCTGTGCAGTTTGGGTGAACTAGTAGAGGCGTGTGGGAAGATGGGCGCCCTGTGAAAGAGGGGCGGTGTGTGTCGGCACCGTGGGAGGACCTGAATGAACACGATTCACCACAAATGCTTTGTCTAATGCCAGCATGATGTGGCAAAGCCACCAATGCGTAGACCCTAGCGACGGTATATTTTGATTCAACCTGGAATAAATTGCTGAAATCTCACAGAACACAGGCGGCATTGCTCACTCGTTTGAAATACGTTTTACTAACTGGATTATTCAGGGGTTTATGGAATTCCAATGTGTCACGCAAGTTCGTGTTTGGGATATTTGTATTCCACGGGGTACTTATCTACGCAAACTAGAGATAAGTAAGTGGTTCATTCAAACCTCGTATTTCACGCCTTTGAATCACGTATATCCCTTCAGTTGCCATTTCGCATTGACAGTCCGATTAGGTCCTAATCCACGAGTTCCAGGTAACACAAGGCATGTGGAAGTCGTTCATTTTGATATGCTTGTCCTGTCTTGTCTTCTTGTCTGGACGATGTCGTTGATGGGTTAACGAAGGTGATTCGAAGCATTTTTGGCTACACGAATTGGATAGAAATCAAGGAGGTAAAACAAATTCCCCAGTTCCGAGTTTTGGTTCAACGAAATCGCCAGATTTCCAGCCGACTCAGTCCACTTCTGTCAGTACGCCCTCAATTGACGGCTTAGACAGCAGTACTAAGAACGAACTCAGAATATTGCTGTATGCAGGGCCCTGGCTCCACTCTACCAAACACCACTACCACAATCTGCGCAGCATTTGGGGAAAGAAATGACTAAGGAGTGAGATCATCCCCAAACATGCAGCCACAGCGATTAAATGTGAGAATTTCTTTGATAACGCAGACAAACCGGGACTTTGAATGATTGATAGAGGCAGCGGTTCTGCCTCGTGGTTGCCTTAGATACAGTTAACGATAAAAAGATTACTGCGGTTAGATCTTAGCGTGCACTTTATGCTTCCATAGAAGCCGTCCGCCACGAAGTCAGTTGTGCCAGTAATCGTGGATATTTTTACCTCACCTTCTAGTTTGCGAAATGCGCAAGGACTGTCACTCTGGCTAATCAATCAGGCAAGGTACGTCAGATTCCAGAGAACCACATTCAAGTTGACGAAACAAAAGTCACAACGAAGCCATTTGGCGCTTTCTACATAATTTAAGAGAACTGCTGGTCTCAACAAACGTTAATGTTCTCTATTAAGTTAAGTGAGACCCATCCTATCGGTTCATCCAGATTATAATTGTCAAAACAGTTAAGGTTGCGGACTTTCTATAAACATAATTCAACATACTGTTCAGAAAGACGTTTCGCTGTTAGGTGCCAACAGGCAGGACCACATCAAAGACACATCGATTGAACGTAATTCCGTGGTCCCGGCGTGGCTCAAGGCCACATTCTGGGGCCCACAACAATTGGTGACCCCGACATGGACAATCAAGAAAGCAAACGTTCAATTGTCCTAGAAGGGATCAGCCTAAAACAGCCTCCATTCTGGCCGGATTCCGCTCCGTGTTGATTCGCCATTTCGGAAACGCAATTTCGTGGTGCTAATATTCTCATATCGTCGCTGTTTTGAGTAGCGAACTGGCCGAAGAAGTTTCAGACGTACTGCTTCGTCCCGACAACGACTTTCCCTACGACTAGTTCAAGGCAGCGATCCTGAAGCGTATGCAACTGACCACGTCAGAATGCATTAATCAGCTCTTATCCGGCAATGACTTGGGAGATTGGAAGCCTACCCAGATCCTAAGGAAGATGCGTCAACTCTCCAACGACGAACCTTTACAAGGCGAATTTTGGAAAGGATTTTTTCTCAGACGACTTCCCAGCAATATCCAACCCATCCTTGCCCCTACGGTTGAATCGTCAACACTAGAACAGTTGGCGGATACAGCAGACCTCATATTAGAAGCAACGAAATCGGCTCGCATCTCCGAAATTGGCCCAAGTCTCCAAGGACAATCGAATGCATTTTTGCCCGCCGACACGTGCCAAGCACCTGTCTCTTTGGAGAGCCGTCTAGCCAGGATCGAAGTCGCAATCGACGCCTTGACAATCAACGGTTCACGAGGGAGACGATACAACACCTCATTTAGACGGAACCACTCACATTCTTGCCGAAGATCCTCTTCACGAGGTGTGTGTTGGTATCATGTAACTTTTGGCCCCGCAGCCCGCAGGCCGCCGTGTAGATACGCTGTTTCAGACTCGCTCGTACAGTCGGGAAACGAGAATGCCCGTCAGTAGTGGCGTCGATTGCTAATGGGCACTTAAACCACCGTCTTTTCCTTTCTGAGAAGTCAACAGGCATGCGATTCTTGATCGACTCAGGAGCCGACATATCCGTTGTGTCTCCAACGCACTCTGAAAAGCAGTCCCCATACCCCTTCTCTGTTTTCTCAGCCTCCAATGGTTCCCCCATCTCTACCGACGGTCAGAAATCTCTCACACTCGACTTAGGATTACGGCACCAGTTTCGCTGGGTCTTCACGATCGCTGGGGTGACACATCCAATCATAGGCGCAGATTTTCTCAACCACTCTGGTCTCCTTCTCGACCTTAAGAACGAGCGGCTAATAGATCCCCTAACAACCCTTTCCGTAAAGTGTCCTACGCAAACTACGCCAGCCATTTCTCAGGTTACGGCATGACAAGTTGAAAATGGACCCTACTTGCCCTTACTGCGAAAATACCCGGATCTAATTAACTCAACTCACTGGCAAACCGAAGTCTGGCACAATGTCACGCACAAAATTTTGACAAACGGTCGCCCCGTTAATGCCCGAGTACGTCGACTCTCCCCAACCCGATACTCAACAGCTAAACGAGAATTCGAACACATGTTGCAGCATGGCATAGTCCGACGATCAGACAGTGATTGGTCATCTGCGCTGCATACGGCTCCCAAGAAAGCTGTTGGTGAATGGCGGCCATGCGGTGATTATCGTGCCTTGAACGCAATAACAACCCCTGATCGCTACCCAATACCAAATCGACATGATTTTTAGTCAAATTTTCACGGAAAGACTGTGTTTTCGAGGCTAGATTTGGTGCGCTCCTACTACCAGGTTCCGATATAGTCCTCTGATATTCCTAAGACAGCTACTGTAACCCTATTTGGGTTATTCGAATTTGTGAGAACGCCTTTCGGCCTAAGAAACGCAGCTCAAACCTTTTAGCGTTTCATCCATAATCTGTCAGCTGGTCTGGATTTTGTGTTTTTGTAAATCGATGATGTTCTCATTGCAAGCTAGAATCAAGAGGAGCATATGAAACACCTCGACGATGTATTCCAACGCCTCAATGAATATGGCTTAATCATCAACCCATCAAGGTGTGTGTTCGGCGTTCCTAAACTTGAATTCCTGGGACACAGTCTCTGCTTCAGGTCTAAGGCCTACCGACAGTAAGGTGAGAGATTCGCGAATTTCCAGGACCAAAGTCCATCAATCAACTACGACGTTTCTTGGGCATGATTAATTTTTACCGTCGATTTCTTCCCAACGCGGTTCAGACCCTGCCACCTCTGACCAACTTACTCAAAGAAAGTTCGAAGAAACTAATCATGACGGACGAGGCACGTCAAGCCTTCAAGGTTACAAAGGAAGCCCTAGCAAAAATAGCCACACTAGTTTACCAACGATCAGATGCACCTCTGGCTCTCCTAACCGACGCGTCCTTGTCGGCAGCTGGTGTGGTGTTACAGCAAACCGTCAACGGGTCAGCTCAACCACTGGCTTATTTTTCAACCAAGTTCAACGAAGCTCAAAAGCGTTACAGCACTTTTGGTCATGAGTTTCTGGCTATCTATCTCTCAGTCAAGCATTTCAGATATCTTCTTGAGGGTCGGCAATTCACGACCTACACCGACCACAAACCGCTGACCTTTGTCGACCGTTGGGGCTCGGATCGGTTATCACCAAGAGAAGCAAGGCACTTGGATCACACTTAACAGTTTTCGGCCGACATTCGACACGTCAGGGGTGAGGACAAGACGGTAGCCGACGCACTATCTCGTTCGCACATCGACGCTGTAAATACAGGTATGCATGTGAATTTCGATGAAATGGCAATCGCCCAGCAATCTGATGAAGAATTACAAGGGTTCCGAAGACAAAACACAGCCTTAAAGATGGTTGAAACTCCTCTTCCCTTCTCCACACATACAATCGTCTGCGATATTTCAACAGATGTGCACCGTCCTTTCGTACCTAAGAAAATGCGACGCCAAGTGTTCCAAGCCCTTCATGGCCTTTCTCATCCTGGCCAACGGGCAACACGGAAGCTGATCGCAAGTCGTTATGTTTGGCCTGCTATGAATCACGATGTTACGCAGTGGGCTAGAAATTGCGTAAGCTGTCAAGTATCCAAGGTGAACAAACACAGCAAGACTCCTGTTGGACGCTTTAACGTTCCCGACGCTAGGTTCGATCACGTGCACGTTGACATTGTTGGGCCCTTACCGCATTCGAAAGGTTTCCGCTATCTTTTGACTTGTGACAACCGCTTCACCCGATGGCAAGATGCATTCCCAATGCAAGACATCTCCGCCGAAACCATCGCAAAAACGTTCGTGGATAGATGGATCGCATTATTCGGAATTCCCTCTGCTGTCACCACAGATCGAGGAACTCAGTTTGAATCAAGCCTGTTCCAAAACCTCAAACGACTTTTGGGGACAAACCGACTTTCTACCACAATCAAACGGCATGGTAGAACGTTTTTATCGACAACTGAAGGCTGCTTTAACAGCACACAGTCACCCATCTTGTTGCACGGACGCATTACCCCTCGTATTACTCGGAGGCCGATCAGCCGTCAAGGAAGATTTAAAGTGTTCCTCTGCTGAAATGGTTTTCGGAACTACATCAAGACTACCTAGGCAGTTTTTCACCGCGACTTCACAAACAACATGGCCGGACCCATGCCACTACGTCGAGCGATTACGGGAGACTATGAACAAGCTAAAAGGTACACAGCCGCGCATACAGTCCATTATTTTGTTCACCCCGGAAGAGTTGCCTACAAGCACCCACGTTTTCATCAGACGCGATGCAGTTCGTCAACCACTTCAGCCCATCTACGACGGACCTTTCAGAGTGCTCAGACGAGAAGAAAAGGTTTTCATTGTCGACCACAATGGAAAAGAAGACGCCGTGTCTGTCGACCGACTCAAGCCAACCTCCTTCGACATGGAGACCTCGCCAAACAATAAGCCTCAGTTGCAACCAAATTCCGTCTCTCTCGGCAATAAGAAGGCTGTAACCACGACACGCTCCGGTGAACGCGTTCATTGTCCCGATCGATATTCGGTTTGAAAGAAAGACAACAGCAGGACAGATAGGATACTGTCAATCGCGAGTGGCACGCGGTACTTCTCGATCCCAATTTTTTTAGCTCCCTTTCAGGTTCTTCAACGGAGAGATCACAGCCGCGCGAAACCTACAGCCTACCTTCGAAAAACCTCAGCGGATGTCAAGGTTCGCCTAATCCTCTCGCTAAGGGAGAGAATTGTTGTGAGTCGTGTTTATTCAACCTCTGAATCCGATCGCTTCGCCTCCGACATGGCGCCCCTTTCTCGCAACATGGCGCCAGCCGTGCAAATCCTCAACTCCCCCTTAATTCACACGAATATGTATCTTGGATTAACCTCACATCTAGATCTCGATGTTAGCGCAGTTATGACGTATACATCCGAGCTGTAAGTACACACGCACAAACTCTACACACGAACCACGTTTCCGTCAAGTCCTAGAATAAACTTTTGACTCTCTGTTCTTCAACCGACATCTTGTTGGTTGGGTGACTAGTGATATTAGGCATCTCAAGAAGATAACTAAAGGAATGATAATGGATTTGTTCTGAGGTCGACTTCATATAAACGCCAAAATTTATAGGCATGGACCGCGAGGAGGATGTCTTGGCAAACAGAGACAGACAAACGTAAAAAGGCAGTCACAATGAGCTGCGCAGCCAGAGTGGGAAACAAGGAATGTGGAGAAAGTTCACCCAGTGCGCAATCTTTCAATTCGAGGCTTCGCCTTCCACCACTCGGGCTTGCTGCCTGTCCGCAAGGAGGTCATTTGCGTGTTTGACCAATAGTAAGCCACGTGCCAGAGGAACTGGGTCGCCTCGAGACGATGCTGCAGGTGAAGCGGCATGCGAAATTCCGAAGGTGGGCGTGTTTGCGTCCGAAGTGCTCTTCGACGATGGAGCAATGTCGCATCTAGAGCCCACCGAACTAGCTATCGTTTCGTCCGCCTTCGTCGGCGACCACAATGTATCGGACTATGGTCTTCCAGCTAACCCCGAGAACCTGAATGCAGTGTGTGAGGCAGTCTATGAAAAGTTGCTCGAGGTAAGAAAGCAGTTTTGTTTATGAACATTCAATTCATTTCACTGCTTACGTGTTCACTGCACGGTCAATCTCACGGCTACTTGAACTCGCACTAAT